CAATAGACGGGAGCTTGGACGTACAGGTATCCTGTCTGGATACTTCTGCCGGATGCGCTCAGCCTCTGCCTTACGCTTATCTGTACAGTAAAACAGCGGATGAGCGGAGATCGGACATCGACAAGTGCGCGCCACATACCAAAGGGGTGCTCATCCTTGAACTTGGACCTCATGCTGGATTACGTAGAGGAGGGTGATGGGGTACAAGTTGTGTGCGCGGAGAGGTGGTGGTGGTCAAAGACAGAGAGAGAAGCCGCAGCAGATGAGGGCGACAATGAACCTGAAGTAGTCAGGCAACGATGCGCCTCGGTCGAGGTTGGGCGCGAGCACGCGGCGTGACTCGGTAAACACGCCACAACAACGCGCAAGCTCGCCCGAAATGGATGTCTCTCCACGGCACCGCGCCGGGTCCTCGTTAGCAGCACTCGCCGTACTACCATCTGGGAACGCGGTGTCTACAGCTGCGGCCCAGTCACTCGTGCCATCGAAGGAGGACTTATGTGGAACACTTGGGTCCGTAGAGACACGGCAATTACTCATACCGACGCCTCCTTGAATGTACGCCTGCCTTCTGAGTCGGTCTCGACACCGCCGCCTTCACACCGTGACAGCTCATGAGAAGGCTGGCTGCACAAAGACAGGAAAGCCGATGGGTAGACGCATGTCCGGATAGTGTTTCGTGCCAGAAATGCGTGGGCCGATTAAGCAGTATATGATACAACGACATACATGTCTGTCATGGTAGGGTAAGAGAACCGCTGAAAACCGCCTCTAAAGGCTGAGAGGAAATGGGAGCGTGAGTCTAGTTGAGAGTCTTCCCAAGACGAGCCAGGTGGTAGTTGATAGTCGGCTTGTGTTTTCTTGTCGGGGCAGGCTTCACAGATGCTGAGTTGATGCTCTAGATCCTGCTGATACAGAAAGGTTACTCACTGCGGTACGCATACATGACATGAGTGCCTTCGCTGATTCTGCACAAGCACCTGTGGACATGATGTCGTTGGTAGCAGACCAGCATGCTAGCATGGTCGCAAACTGCGCAGTACACGGACGGATAGCGGCCGCTGCAAGATCAGGTTAGACACAACCAGAACATGTCAGTCCGCATAGGTGAACTCACCCTGACGCGGCCGAACCTTCAACTTCTCAATATGCATCTTGCCTGGTTCACCGAACTACCTATGCCAACGATACCACGCTAGCGAGTGAGACAAGGACGCTTCAGTGGCAGAAGTGCTGACAAACGGGTTGGATGAGTATTGCAGCGTAAGATGAGTGACCAACCAGCAGAGCGTACTTACCTCAGACAGCAGGCGGATGGTGGGTGTCGAGAGCTGCTGAAAAGTCGCGACCCCAGAATGGACACGGCCCGCCCCGGCGTGATCACGTGCCTCCACGTAGCCGCAAAGTGAGGACGAGCGTCTGTTGTGCGGGGCGGCGAAGTCAGGAGGAACCGCGCTCGTCGACTCTCATCATCCTCTCAACCGTCCCGCCTTCTGCTCTTGCACGCGACTCGGAGCTTCTTGTCTTCGTCGATAGGATTGCCGTTGCCATGGCCGCTAGGACTGGGCTCAACAAGAACAATTCCGGTGGGTGGCGACGCTGGTCTTGTGGCGTGCTACAGAGACTGAGACCGGATGCAGCTGTCAAGCGGATTATGCAGGAGGCCCGGGAGTTGGCAAACGACCCATGCACGGACTACGCTGCGGCACCGCTTGAGGTGAGTCACCTCTTGAGGCAGCTTCCAGTTGATGAAATCGAACGAATCCTTCCCTGCTGCAGGACGATATCTTCGTGAGTACAAAGCTACATGATTTGTTATCCGCAAGTCTGAGTCGCCTCAGGAATGGCACTGCACCATCCGCGGACCGCCTGGCACGGAGTTTGAGGGTGGATTGTACCACTTCCGCATACTGCTCCCCTCCGAATACCCCTTCCGTCCGCCTGCTATCATGATGCTTACCCCGAATGGCCGCTTCGAGCTCAATACGAAGGTTCGTCCACCTGGCTATCCACGTGCTTGATTACGCCCAACTAAACTTCTTTCTAGATATGCATCAGCTTCACTAACTGTGCGCTCTGTTCTACCGTTGCGTCTCTAATCATGTGTCTGACGGCTGTCATTAGATCACGAAGAGCTTTGGCAGCCTGCATGGGGTGTGCGCACCGGTAAGTCCTCTATCGCCGCTGTTGCTACGCTCGTCGGCGTCGGCTCATCCCCTTGCGTCCATCAGCCATAATCGGTCTGCAAGGTTTCTTCCCACTCAAAGGCACCGCTGCAGTCGGTGTCGGCGCTATCGAATATCCCACAGCCGAGCGGAAACGTCTCGCTGCACTGTATGTCATCCTCGGCTCCCCTCTCCGCGTTCGAGTTGCTAAATTCTGATATTGCGCAGATCGCGCGAATGGGTATGCCCGCGCTGCAACATGTCCAACCTCGAGCACCTTCCCGACCCGCCTGCGTCCGACGGCAGCGCATCCTCGTCGTCATCGTCGTCAGGCGACAACTCCTCATCCACTCCCTCCCCCGCGCCTGTCTCCTCGTCCGACATCCCTATCGTCGCCGTACAATCTCCTAACGCACAGCCTGTACTCGCAGTGGAGACACAAGCTCCCATGCCGGAGGCGCATATCGTCCACCGTCCCGTCCCGCTCGTTGCTCCCAAACCGACACGCCCGCACGCGCAGCCATCTATCGTCACGCAGTCCTTTACCCCACCGGGTACCCCGTTCACGCAGCCTGCCACCCGCGATGCGACTCCCCAGCCCGCCCTCGTCGCGGCTGTCAGACAGACCCCGAAGCGCCCCCCGGTCTTGCTGGACACGGCTATCTGCGTGCTCCTCAGCCTGATGCTTGCGCTTGTCGCCCGCAGGTTCCTGTGAGCATGCTGGACGGCACGTCGACCGTGTTTGTCGTGCAGGTATCGTTATGTCGGGTAGCGCTCTAACTTTCGGTCTCGGCGGATGTATAGTAGTGTAGTTTAGCTTTGTCTTGGCTCTGTCCTTGTGTTCTCATGTTCTTGTCTCGTGTCCCTCCTCTTGCATATGATACACCTTCGATGCAATGACCCACGTTACTTTAAATATGACCGGTCTACTTGGGAACGTGAATCACATAGGCGATGGAAAGGAGTACAACACGAATCGCAACGCATGACCGGGCAGGGACCAGGAACGGAACCGCAAGACGAAAGCCATCCAGATCACTTTTTCTTCTTCTCGTCGCGCACAGTGGCGACGACGAGGTCCTCGTCCTCGAGGTTGTACACCGCGATCGTCTGCGTGTTCGTCAGCATCTTGCCCCCGTACGACACCCGGATCTTCGACACGCCTACAGTGCTCCCCGTCGCCTGCACGATCCTGTCCCGAAGCGTCGACACGAGCAGGCTCAGCGGCAGCTCCTGCAGCGTGACCACGCTCCCGTCGAACTTCCACTCCGGCCGTGACGGCTCGTTCGGCAGCTGCACCCGGAGCGAAATCGGGTGCGGGTGCATGTTGATCCAGTCCTGCTCCGGGTACAGCGCGCCCCCGGGGAGCTTGGCCACCCGCTGGCGCTTCGCGGGGGGCGCCCCGTCCGCCCCGTCCTCCATCTCGTCTGCGCTGCGCACCATGCCGACTTGTGGGGGGGTGCCCGTCGGGAGGGGCGTTTGCAGCGCAGCTGCGCGTGCGGGGTGCATCATGGGCGCACCGGGAGGAGGGGGCTGGTAGCCGAACGGCTGGGCGGCGTCCATACCCTGGTAGTGAAGTGGGGGGAGCATGACGGGTGCGGGTTGGGGGAAGAGGGAAGCTGGTTGAGGGCCTGAGGAGACGGTTGCTGCCGAGTAAGCGGAGTTCTGCGCAGGGACGCCTGCTCCTGTTGGTGGGGCAGGGAGGGATGCTGGGGCAGGGGGCAGACTGTTCAGCGGAGCAGGGATAGCCGCAGGACCGATACCAGGACCGATAGCGTTGGCTTCTTGCCTGTGTGTCAAGTGAAGGTCAGATACAGACTCAATGTGGAGTCAGATAGAGACGACATACGGTCCAAGACCCTTTGCGCGGTGAATGGCGGCAATTTGCTCGTCGATGTTCGAGTTGGTCTGATACCTATCGAGCGTGTTCGCCTTCGACGCAGTGTGACCGTCCCATACATCCTTCTCGCGCTCCCTCCGACGCAGTCGCTCCTCCTCCTCTTCCTTCTTCCGCTTCTCCTCATCCGCTTCGGCGCCGAAGATATCGACACGAGTGCGGGCAAGGTTCTTAAGCGAAGAAACCACGTTTGCACCACGTTGGAGCTCGGACGCCTGTGCCTTGCGGGCCTCGAGTGCATCACGCTGCGACTTCCACTTGGGATCGAGAAGCTCGATACGCATGTGCTCCTGCAGCTCGTCTACAGCGATTTGCTGCCCACAGATGGTACATGTTGTGAGCTTCTCTCCACCCTTCTTGTTCACTACGATGGGTACACAGTCAGCGGCTGCTTGTATAGCAGTATGGGCACCGGAATCACTCACGTTTTGGGACGTAGTCTGTCCTGATCTTCATGGGACCACCGACGTCCAACGAGCTGGCCTGAATAGCCCTGGCCCGCTCAATCTCCCTCTGCCTCTCCTCCTCGTCGCGACGCTTCCTTTCCTTCGCTTCGTCGTCCTCGTCGTCGCTCTCCTCCATGACTTGATCATCTTCGTCCCCAGCACCATTCGCTGCGGCGGCAGCTTCCGCGTCTGCAGCAGCTTGGCGTGCGCGATGTGCCTCGACGTCCTCCGCTGTAGTCTCCATAACCATGGCTGCCATCCTCTTCTGAGCCAGCGTCATGTTCTCTACCTCTTGTACGCTCATGGGAGGCGGGAGCTCGGCGGTGGCATCGGCAGCAGTGAATTCAATCGTCTGCACGATCGCGTAGTCGTGCCAGTCGATTTCGGCGAAAGCAACTATGGCAGGACGTCAGGTCTTGATATTAGCATAGGAAGGCACGTATCAGCTCACTTCGCTCAGCCTCCCTGTCATCTTCGCGCTTCTTGTCCTGCTCGCGCTTCATCTGCTCCCAGCGCGCACGCTTCCGCGCCGTCTCGAGGTCCTTCCATCGAGCGCCGTCTTGCGTACGCTCCTTCAGCTGCGCGAGCATCTCCTTACTAGGCAGGAGAACTTTCGAGTATTGCTCCACCAACCTGTTGAAATATCCAAATAGCGAATGGGTCGGCCTCAGGAAGTCGAACTGGTAGTTGCGTCCTTCCCGTGCCGAGAGTGCGGCTAGAAATGGACGGCCTCTCCGCGCTGTGAACAGCGCCGTGAGCTTGATGATATCGCTGAGGGGAGGGATGTCAGAACCACAGTAAACGATTCAATAAATCAACGCATTCGAAGGTCACGCACAAGTCGATCGCCGTAACGTTCGGAATATTCAAGATGAACTCCGGCACAGGGGGCTCCTCTCCCATATCGACGGGTGCTGCAGGCTCAGCAGGCTTCTCCTCCGCCTTCTCCCCCTCCTTCTGCGTCGCTACCTCGTCGACCTCTCCGCGGGCGACCTTATCCATGCGGTGTCTGTAGTATGCATGGTAAGGGTCGGCCGGGTTGAGGAACGCAAACTTTGGATCCTGACGCTGGTTCTCGCGGATCTTCTCCTCAAATTGGGGCGGATTGGCAGAACGCGCAACGAAGGCTGCGGTACGGTCAATGACAGCTATAGTGTACGCATCAGCACATAAAGTCAGCACCACATATAGAACAAGCAGATACTCACACTTGATCTCGGGAGGGGGAAGAATGAGGCCGCTGGCAAACTTGGGTTCCTTGTGCACCTCATTCGCGCCATCTGCGCCCTTTCCAGCTACTCCGTTCACGTCTCCATCAAGAGCCGGCGGACGAGGCATCGCCTGAGTCGCCACGCTCATTTTGCAGAAAGAGGGATGCCGGATAGTAGTCGCAAAGTAGTGGCGAGATGCATGGTGCCCGGCCGCACTGACCAAACGGGCCTTCTCAGCCAGACGCCCGTTGCTTAGTCATCATGCTATTCCCTTTCTCGCGTGCCGCTTGGTTGTGGCCAACGACCTCCACCGTCGACCGCGCGGCGAACATGTTCGGGGCCTTCAGACCGACACAAACAAATCTCGTGGGCCTCTTGTGGTATGTTTTATGCTTGAATGCTTTGCCTATTGCTACTCACCAAGTTGTGTCTTAGGAAGACCCCATGGAAGCTGTCACGCACACGGAAGGCCAATGTTCGTGCTCGTCTGAAGCAGGTGGACTCAGTCATTGAGGCGGTCAGAGCGAGCGGAGTTCAGTGCAAAGCCTTGGTGTGTACTCCCTTATTGTACGCGCCTGTGACTCTTACGCGTTGGGTATCTGTAGGACCAGGCCTTAGAGCTGCCAAAGGAGCATGAGATGCCACCACGAGACAAATACACTGTCTTCTCAAGACACACCAAGGGTTACAGGAAGGGTATTCACAAAGTGCCCAAGTGGACAAGAGTATGTGACTCTTCTCGCCCAATTCATGGACGCGTGTCCCGCTCACATTACGCTACAGCTGACCTTGAGGACAAACCCCAAGGGGTTCTGATGCTATTCTCGTATGCTCGTTGTATCATACACCCGACTATTATAGAGGCCTGTTGCAGACCATCCTAGGTGCCGTAAGGAGATAAATATTGACGGGGACGGGGAATGCGAGTGGAAGCATGAGTGATACTCCTACAATAGTACTAACTGGATTGTCCCCTGCCTCAAGCCGTTGAAAACTTTCGGCGCACCGAGCACTGTCCTGAAAACCTCATCCCGAGTCTCTGGAATGTCTAATAGCGTACGCTTCTTCACGTCTCGATAGGACACATCAAGGATGATGTGAGTGAGCGCCGACGTCGAGAAAGCATCTGCAAGGGGCATCTGACGATGAGCTGACAAGAAGACACGGATCGCAAGAGCATACCTGTGTCACACAACAACTTGCCTAGGCGTCCTGGAGTCCCCACTGCCGCAGCAATCTTCGTTCTCTTCAAGTACGCGACATGTTCCTCGAGCTTGAAATGCTTAGCGAAAAGTTTCGCGACGTCACCGCCCTTCTCTCCGCGGAGCCGCTTATCCTTGAGCACTCTAGTAACATCCGCGACCCGTAGAGCCGCTCCAGCGACGAAAATCAGCGTTGGGGCACCATTATTCTTGGGCCGTTGCCCCATACGAGTGTGAAGGGTGGGAAGCACTGGGGCAGTTTTAGTGAGAATAAATGGCACGAGGGAAGAATCCGCAACGCACTCTTGATAATGAAGTCCACCAATTGGTCCAAGTTTCTCGAACCCGCCCATGTACTCGTGTCCACTATAGAACTCTCTGTCTATGCCGTCAACATTGAGAACGCACCTGCAATAGACGCATATAGGGACTCACCTGGAATCTGGACGTCAGCAAGCTCGATACCAGACATCTTCGAGAATGTCTTCGCTTGCATTGATGTGATATAATCTACAAGCAACACAGGCGGTTGCGCAGCTATTGAAGGAGCCTCTACGGGCTCCACCGTCTCCGCCAGTTTACGTTTCTGCAGATAAGAACATCAGAGGAGGAGCGCGCACCTGAGCTGAGAGAAACATACCTTAGCCTTGCGCTCCTTCTCCTTCGCTCTACGTTTCCGCTTCTTCTCGGCAGCGGCTGCATTTTGTGTCTGCGTCGACTGTCCGACATTTCCGCTATCTTCGTCTGCACTGAGAAGATCCCCGATATCCTCGGTCTCCGGAAGGTCATCCTCGTCCGACATCGCCACTATGTCGTCGGGTACGAAGTCATCCTCGAGGTCGTCGCCGATGTGATTCATGGTGGTAAGAGGAATGGTCGTTGAGGACCCAACGAGAGGAAAAAGACACCAGTTGAGGGTGTCAAGAACAAGCAGGGAACGTCCGAGTCGAACGGATTTGCGGACAAGCGCAGAACGGAATGCTACGGCACTTAGCCGCTCAAGAGCACAATTTCTAGCGCCCACATGGGACCGGGCCGCTCCTCCGGGCCAAGCTGCCTTTTGGCCCTTCTTGCCAAAGTCCTCGATGCCTTCCAGCCGGTTCGCAGACCTTTCTCTCTCGTTCCCAGCCACAGCGGGTTATCATCTGACCATCATCATAGTTGCCCCTGATACAGTATGTACACGGTCCGAGACGGCGGCGCTGGTGCTCGCTTCTCTGCACAATCCTCAGGGTTGTTGTCAAGGTGGCGGTCAGGCAATGCAATTCAGTGACACATGCTGGTGACGCTCCCTCGTAGTAAGTGACCGCCAGCGAGTGCTCGATATGCCGGCAAAACGCTGTGAGTTTACACCCTATAATGCGGTAAGCCGAATGGCCTATATCCATGTTGTACTTTTCGTGACTTTCGTCTCCGCCGCTATGTCTAGTGTGCCGCCTTGTCGCGCCCGGATGCAAGGGACGGCAGCTGCTCTTCAGTTCATGATCGTCGTCTTGCGTGTGATACGCTACACTTCTGCGGTCAGCAATACTTACATGCGGCCACAGGACCGGATACCGCATCGTTGTGAAGCGAGCATCTGATTGGGAGGCTGTCTCTCGTCATCAACTGATGATCCTAACTGTCGGACGCGAACGATCTGCAAGCTGTGCCGTCTGCCTACGACATTACTGTCATCATTGACTTTCGCTGTTTTCCGAATCACTGTCCGGCAGAGAGAATGACACGCGTAGAATGAGGTTTCTCCACATCGGACTATACTTAATGGAATGTAAGTGTCTGCACATCTTGCGTATGCGATGGCTATGCTGATCACAAGGCTACGCAACTTTGTTATGTCCGGTTTCTTCCTAGTATCAAAACGGATCACTCAGCCTTAACCTTGACGTGCGTACTCATGAAGATCATAGGGTGGCATAGTCGACTCTCGCTCAGAGTCTACAGCCTAATAGACAGCTATAGATGATCCTGCGGGCACCCTTTCTACCAATGACCACAACCAGTGGGATTCATCTTGAGGTGAAATCATTTCACAGAACACCCTCGAAGCACAGGACGAACACACATGCATATCGTCGACGTCAGTAGTGCAGCCACGTCTATTCCCAGATTAGCAACTTAGGCGCCAAAGACACGTCCCTGACCTTGCGGCATCGCCACTCGATAATACTTTCGTTCCTTTTGTCTTCCTTTTGTCACGACATCCTATCCTTAACGCAACGATACCTGGAAAGTCTCGTTCCCCTGGGTCTACAAACTCGTCGTCTCGAACTTGGGCAGAGCAGTCAGCACATCATTTCATCAGTTGTGTCCATGGGCTAGCAACGGTTGTGATAGCCGCTGTATGATATCCAGGCTGGACTGCACTGTTGCACTGGAACCATCTGTAGACATGCACCACAGCCTGGACTGTATGAGTCCTGCCTACCAAGTCTTGCGTGACGAAGGTTCAAATCACCAGTTCAGACTATGTTTTATACCCCTTGTATGCTTGGAACCGAGGGACACTTGGCGGTCAGCAATTATTCATCCGAGAATGAACGTTCAAGCTCAGGGAGCTGCTGATGACATCCATCTGCGGATCGGATGCGCCACAGACCCAGGCGGCGTTCGAGAGGTGCGCAAGATCGCGCTTGTCTTTTGACGTGTCCTCTTCTCTCACCGACCAGAGACGGATGAACTTCCCTGTTTGCACCCATGTGCAGTTATCCCAGCGCTTGGTGCGTCAGTTCATATGACTACATCCGAGAGGCGTCGCATTTTGCAGCGCCCCTGTTCGCCCATAGTCGCTGCCGCATCAGCCTGCCGCCGTCGGCCACCTGGCGGCTCGCCAATCCGCGTCGCACCAACTCCAACATTGCCGCTCCTGATGGCATATCTGTCAATGCTCACACGCGGTCCCGTTTCGCGGGCGGCCAAGCTCACGGAGCTGCAAGCCTGGCGCGGTCATGCGTTCGAGCCGCCTACGAAGCCCGGTGTTCGTACGTCTTGGGATCGAACGACGAAAGACCATGTGCGCGCCCGCCTAATCAAGCCTGCCCCGGCCAGTTCAGTCTGGTCGTGATGCTCGTCCCGATACCGGTGCCGGATCAGATCGCAGACGACGACTTGGCCGTTTAACAAAGGGGTATAAAAGTGGCCAGTATCGTCGTCCAAGTACTCACCACACCGCCTAGTCTCAGCACTGGTTGCTCCCCTTCCTACCTTCAAATCATCAGTCACTTCACCTTCCACGCTCCAGTATGAAATCCTACGCTCTCGTTGCTCTCATTGGCTACGTTGCCTCCGCGTCGGCCTTGACGATTACCTTCCAGAACCGGTGCTCGTTCAGTATGTGCTCCTCCGTTTGATAGGTATAGATCATTGACATCGTCCCTTTCTCCTTCAACAGCTGTCTGGCCTGCCGTTGGCAAGGCCCCTAACGGCCAGCCCGACCCCTCTGTCGCCTTTGGTCACAGGCTAGACCCCGGTCAGAGCACAAGCTTCGGCGTAGACGATTCACAGCTCGTCAGTTTTGTCTTGCCGATCAGCACCTTACACTCGCTCACGTTCAGTGCAGGGTATCCGCGCTTGGGGTCGTACTGGCTGTGACGCCAGCGGCGCCAACTGTGCGACCGGAAAGTGCAACGGTGGCTTGGTCTGCACCGACGCTGGCATCACCTCTGGTGTGATCCTCTCCGAGTACGGCTTCGCCGACTTCGGCCAGTTCGGCGGCCAGCGTACCTCTTGGGATCTTTCGCACGTCGATGCTTGTCAGTGTCTTCCTCTCCTCACTTCGAAAGGGTCAAGTGCTAACGTCGGCGTGGCTTCGCAGCGATCAACATCGACACCCAGCTTACGGTATCGGATGGTCAATCCGTCCTCTGCAGGGCCTCTAACTGCCCCGACGACCAGGCGTTCTCCAGCCCGACCGACTTTGCTGCAGACCACAACTCCCCGCTCGGCCAGACTTACACTCACATCTTCTGCCCTTAAAGACGTCCTTATTGAATGGACGCGTTAGATTATTTGCTGTACAAAGTAGCGTTAGTACATCTTGGCGCTGTGATTGGGTCACAGCTGTCTCTCCTTGAACTTGCAATATCGCTTAATTCATATCGCTTTGGTGGTCGTGCTTCTTGATGTGTGATCATTGCTGCGCGGACCGCAAAGGAGAAGACACAGCGCTACAGCAACTTACAGCACCCGTCACTTGTCAGAGCAGCCGCTACTCAACTCGATGATGCCCACATCTGAGTCTGCAGCACCGAAACTTATCCACTATTCGACACATCTCGTCGCTGATGAACGCATTGAGTCGGGCAGCCTGGCCCGGCGTTCATCGCATGAAACTCCAGACAATCAGGTATGTAGTGTTTTATGCTCGCGCTACCTGCTGTCAATTTCAGATGTGTATTGGGCTTGTTCATGGCTACTCCCCCGAGAGGCTGCCCTTCGGCGGCGGCTGCCACGGCCACGGACATCCCGGCGCGCGCGGAGCTGTCGGGCCAGGTACTCGATGAGCGCTGGTAACCTGGTCATGCGAATTGAAGTTGTGATCTGCCGTACTCTTCTTTCGCGTCATATCTTGGCCTATATGAGTGAAGGCGTTTCTTCTCGGGCCTCGGAAGCGACGGCTTAACATGAAGGAAGAAAGGAACTACCTGCCGCGGCTCAGCCCATCGCGTCATCCGCCCGGCGTCGAAGTAGGAAGGAAGCCTTGAGGGAGTGTACGGCTGTGTGAGACTTCGGGCGCTTCAAGAGGGCGTGAGAGGTAAGCGATAGCTTGCCGAGAGTAGCCGAGGTTGAAGTCGTCCGAGAACACGAGAGAGTAAGAGACACACGAGAGGGTGAGTGGGTAGAGTCGTATATCTCGAACGCTGGGGCAACTCCCCTCTAAGTACAGGCCTTCTTATACTACTTGAGATCTACATCAGAGAAAGGAACAGAGAAATACAAACGAGAGAAAGAGAGAAAGAGATCTATGGTGGCGGGAGCCACTGAGCCCAAAGGGCTTTGTTGCGATCGCGACAAAGCGCGATGTTCGTCCTAATCGGGTATGTCAGGCGCCGGCCCTTACATTCGCCCTCCAGGACTTGAGAACAAGTCCTACTCACCGGCAATGCACCGATTGGACCAGACGATTAGAAGCCTTCATCTCCGAGCGAGACGGCGTCTTCGAGGTCTTCTTCGGGATCGGAGCGCCCGTTATCGCCTTCATCATCGACCACCATCTGGTCGACATTGGATGGCCCGGCCTCGGGTTCCTCGTCATCTGGAACGTCTCCAAGTAAGTGGATGTGGCACTATGAGGTCGATAGAGTATTGACGACGCACTATGAACAGGTTGTTCGGCTGCTTTGCCTTTGCGTCCTCCCCTCTTACGGTACCGCCACTTTTTGTTGGCCGCCTTACCAACCGGCTGCTTACCCTTATTCACAGGGTTTCCGACACGTCCGGCGAGAGGAACGGATTGGACAGGGGGACGAACGTACATCGGTCTCCCGGACCAATTTCCTCCGCCAAAACCCCCGCGTCCGCCCCCTCGCCCTCCGCGATATCCCCCACGTCCTCCCACACGCCATCCTCCGTATCGTCCTCCGCCTCCAAGGTCCGAGGCGACCGGGTTTCCGCCACGAGCCTTCTGCGCGAACTGCAAGATCTGGTCCTGCGTGCCCGATCGGTAGTTGAGGAACGCGTTAAAGGCATCGGTACTCATCAATACGCTATGGCCCGACGAGGTGGACGGAGGCGGGGCTGACTGAGCGGGTTGGAAGACTGACGCGACAAGTTGAGCGAACTCGCGCGGTCCAGGTGCGTAGGTCTGTCGCTTTTTGTAGACATCGTAGTAGCCTTCCGGCGGGTTGCCGGGATAGGTCTCGCGAGTGGGTTGGACTAGCCAGGCGGTGAACGCGTCCGCGTAGGTCTGCCACTTGACCCCGTCGTCGGCGGTGTATTGGTTGTGTGCGCGTTGGGACATAGTGGAATGGATGCGAGGAGAGTGAGGAGGTTGGCTGGTTGGGTATGCCATTTCTCGCTCACTCGCCCCTGTACTTATAGTATAGGAATAATCTGATACTGTGCCACCCGATAACTCGGTGAGTGGCACATACAAAGACTTCGCTTCGACTTGGCGCAGCGTGTGTTCAGTGCGTGCAATGTCTCCTTTGTCTAACTGACGGATATTTGAAATACCCATAGCCTCGAAATATTCCGTTAGTGCCTGCAGGTGCCGAACGTCTGCGTACGGTGCCCAGGTGACGTCCCCCGTCGACCATTCGCACCTCAAACTCCGT